GGATTCGAACCCGCCACCTTAGGTGTATGTGGCTGGCGCCTTAGCCGGTTGAGCTACAGGCGCTGAGCCTCACTCGACTTCTTATAGCAGCCAAGTGGGGAGCTCCCGGGGGGAGCCAAAGTGAAGGGCTTGTGTGGCCCTGGTTAAAGTGGGCAACGCGGTTCCTGATGTATTTGGCTGCCCACTCAATGACCTAAGAATAGTGGTCTAAGGTGATGAGCTTCATCTTATCCTGCAGCCAGCAGGACTGAAGCCTGGTTTTGTGGGTTTTTCAGATATACTTATTTTAAATTCTTTTCTTACATAAAAGATGGCATAGGGTTGTTGCTGTTTTATAAGGTGACTTGCTCACCTAGTGATATATTGGAGCTCTTTCGTCATCAGTACAGAGATGACTCTCTCATTCTTTGTCTAGAAGTTACGTCGTATTTTATTATTTGGACACAATAACTGATTCTCTGTGGGTTGGTACCTGAACCCTTTGCTGCCTCTTGGCAGTACAAACGATGCTTCAATGAATGGCCTCAGAATTGTCACTGTGTCCACAAGCAGAGTTATGTGCAGGCATATTCCCAGGAGTGGGCTAAGTGGGTCACATTCCTAGATGTATTGTTGAGTCTTCTTTCCAGACACCTAATGCTGGTCATTTGACCTCACTGCACCTGCAGGTCCTTGGTTGCCTTCGGCCTGAGCTAGTTAGTCATGGGCCTGTGTATGGGAGCTATTCAAGGTGTCTGTAACTGATTTGGAAGTGATTTTCCTTCTCTGGGTGTGGAAGAGGAGTAGAGAGAGGCTCGGGTTCATTCACACTATCTAATGCTAGGTTTCTTTCCAAGTCTAGGGAAATCTGAGAGCAGGGGGAAGGTGAAGCAGGTGGGAGGGGGGAAGTAGAGCACGGCTGGGATAGGCACTCTTTCTAAGTATATTAGTGCTTCTAGAGCAGAGATCAAATGTGTCTGGGATGCTCTGGGTCTGTGTGTCAGAAAGTGGATCTTTACAGCTGGGTGTGGTGGCTCACACCTGTAATCCTAGCACTCTGGGAGGCCAAAGGGGGAGGATCACTTGAGCTCAGGAGTTAAGAGACTAGCCTGAGCAAGAGTAAGATGCTGTATCTACTAAAAATAGAAAAATTAGCCAGCAGGGTGGTGGGCACCGATAGTCTCAGGTACTCAGGAGGCTGAGGCAGAAGGATGGCTTGAGCCCAGGAGGTAAAGGTTACAGAGAGCCTGAATGACTCCATTGCACTCTGGTCTAGGTAACAGAGTGAAACTCTGTCTCAAAAAAATGTGTGTGGGGGGATGCTGGGTGCAGTGGCTCACACCTGTAATCATAGCACTCTAGGAGGCTAAGGTGGGTGGATTGCTTGAGCTCAGGAGTTCAAGAAGAGCCTGAGCAAGAGCAAGACCTTGTCTCTAAAAATAACCAGGTGGTGGTGTGGTGGGTGCCTGTAGTCCCATCTACTTGGGAGGCTAAGGCAAGAGCTCCCCTGAGGTTGCTGTGAGCACCGAGGGCAACAGAATGAGACTCTGTCTCAAAGAAAAAAAGGCATATCTTCAGCACCTCTCTGAGTATCCAGAGGGTATAGAATAAAACCAGCACTATCTTAAAATAGTCAGAAGGGGCAAGGATATGAGCGGGTAGCTCACAGTGAAGGAAATGCAAA